CTTGCGGCAAAGCTTTGATTGTCCCACAGCCACCCTTTTGCCTGGCATGAAACTAGGCGTCAATCACAGAACAGGAAGGAATTGGACTCTCACATCATGACTAGCTTCTAACGACCCGTCTCCAGGAGCTTTTACACTCGAATGGGACCCTCATGGCTTAGAGTTAGTTCTTCGACGTAGAGGGCTGTGTTTTGGACTAGTGGGGCCTTGAAAAATCTCAGTGATCCTGATGGTAGAATGACCTTTGGGAACATAGGACCAACCTACTATCATATACAGTCTTATAAGATGATGTACACGAGAACTTCAGATGAAGAGTTCTTCAGTTACACGTTGAAAGATGACCCTAAGGATCCTGCTGTCCATAAAAGCATAGACTGGAGAATAGAGTACCAATGAACTCTTTACGTTTGAGGGTTTGGGAATCATATTAGAGGAATATTGTTATGGGTATACGACAAATGACAGTTTGTATATATGAGGGATGTGCAGAATGGGAACAACCAGAATGTAGGAGTTACAATACAACGTTTGAGGTTTGTTGTCTGGATACTTTGTGAGTAAAAGTAATGGAAGGTTCACCGAGGGACATCTTCAAAGGTTAGCTCCTGCTGGTTGTAGAATTAACTGCTGGAATGATTGTGATTATCAGGCATATCAGAAGATGGGCACGTCACAGTGCGTTGAATTATGATTGTGATTATCAGGCATATCAGAAGATGGGTACGTCACAGTGTGTTGAATTTCACCAAGAAGCAGAGTTTCGACCAGATCCCTCAGGGAATTCGGAACAATTTTATGTCATCCAAAAACCACAAAATACCAGTAAGTTCTTCGCTGTATCATGGAACTAAATCCTCCCTGCATCAATCCTTTCAACCATGTGATCAATCTAATAAATCTTTATTTCCTGAAATTTAACCTCATTTTGATTTTGGTTTGTGAAATCTGTTTGTTTGAGGGACCAGAAATTCTTACATGGGTCAAAATGAAGTTAAATTTCTGAGACCAAAACCAAAATAAGGTGAAATTCTAGGAACCAAAATTAAAATAAATTTTAGGAATTTAAAATGATATTAATTTTTTAAAAAAATATGCTCGCAAGACAATTTTATTAAACATATCAAGAGTAATTTTGAGAAAGGCACACCCTAGAATTCAGATAAAATTGATGAAGCTAGAACTCTGATCAGGATTATTGAAGAGGGTTCTGTCAAAGTCAATCTAAGATCAGCACTTTTAATATTTATCGACATCTTTTATCTAAACCATTAGATTAATTATAGGGCTACAACGTTGTGCGAGAGAGAAGATTTAGTTCAATTCATATCCAACTTTTTTACATTTTGCTTTCTATTATATATGAATTGATAGCCTGGAAAATAAAAATAGGTGTTAAACATAGAAATGGAAAAGAGGAGAAAAGTATTTTGAAAAAATTATTTTTCTCTAAGGATCTTGGTCCTCCTTTTACATTTTCAGTTCTTAATGGAATAACGGCGAGGTATTTCTTAAGTCGCTGTTACTTTAAAAACTTCTTTATTATGACAAATGACCCTTCAACACATGTAGATTTAACTGTTGAAGAAAGGAAAAGCAATAAGAAATGGATTCGCAATGTTGTTAGCGTCTATCATTGTTATTATATTTTATTGGAGACGGAAAATAATAGGTAAGACTTGCAAAATCTTTAGGGAAAATCATTAGGAGTGAGGTTTGGAAGGAATATGATCACAAGAAAATCCCACAAACAAGTAAATAGCATGCAATGACAAATTTCACTATAAGAAATGAAAAGAGATCCATGCTGTTCACTCAATTTTTAATTATTGTGTTCCTTCATTGAAATCTCTCGTAGTGATTTTCCCAAAACTTTATATCCCCACTAATTCACAAGGCATATATGATCACAACGGACAATAAAGGGAGAAAAGAGGACCATCTACATCAAGTGATGATGACAGAAACTAATAATTTACAAAATTTAGATGAGCTTGGATATGATAATTGTTTTGCTCAACATTTGAAAGTGTTCAGCTTTTTGTCTATCGTTAAAGCTATAGACAACTTCTCTACGCAAAATAAACTTGGACAGGGTAGTTTTGGTCCAGCTTACAAGGTTCAAGAACATATATATTATCACTGATCATTAATATAAGATTCAGTTGACTAATTTAAAGATATTAATAAAGTTACTAAATCACTTTATTACATTATATATGTTATATAATCTCTCTAAAATACTTATGTTAATCATTAGATGATATATCAATTTATCAATGAAGCAAATTAGTTTAAAAAAAAACGATAAATATAAATAGCTTAAACTAATTTAGTAACTTTTTTAATTTTTTCAAATTAGTCAACTAAGTCTTATGTTAAAGACCGAAGGTAGTAATTTTTTAGCTATTATACGCTGTTTCTTTGAGTTACTAAATGATGGCAAAATCGTTAGGTAAACTACCAGGAGGAAAATAAATTGCAGTGAAGCCATCTGGAAGCCTAGGACAGGGATTAGTGGAGCCTAAGAATGAGTCAATACTCATAGCAAAGCTACGGCACATGAATCTGGTTTTTGCTTGGCTGCTGCATACAAGCTGAGGAAAAGATGTTGGTTTATGAATATATGCCTAACAAAATTTGGACTCCTTTCTATTTGGTTAGTAATTAATTATGCACACGACAACCTAAAACTTAGTCCTCAACAACCCAAGTTTTTTCATTTTCATCATGTTGTGACCCTTCAAAATTGGCAATGTGATGAGGTCATCTTCAAATTCTATTAGAAACAACTTATATATATTCTCTTATGGGGTGTTTGGATAAAATCAAAACCATAGTTTTAGAAGTGCTTTTACAGTATACGAAGTAAATACGTGGAGGAGTTTACTTCGATTTGCGAAAAAATGCTTCTGAAAAGTGATTATTGGGATATCCAAACACCTCCTATATGTGAAAACTGTCTTTAAGTTGCCGGTTTGATAGTTTGTAATGATCTCACACGCTGAAACTTTTTTATGGTTGTTATCCTAAAGATGCATCCCAGAGGGGCGTGTCGAATTGGAGAACGAGAGTGATGATTGTTGAAGGAATTTCACATGCACTTCTTTACCTTCATCAGCTTTCAAGATTAACAATCATGCACGGGGATTTGAAAGACAGTAACATATTGCTCGATCCATACATGAATCCTAAAATTTCTGACTTTAGAATGGCTAGAATTTTCAAGCGGGATGAACTCCTTGCTAGTGCTAACAGAATTGTTGGAACATTATAAGTTTGATAAACTATTTAGAAATACATTATTTGCTTGTGCTTGAAGTGAGAAAAAAAAATAAAGGAAATGTTTCCATTCCTAGTAACATGTCTTTTCTTTTTCTTTTTCTTTTTTGGTTTTTTTTCTTACTAACAGTTACATGTCTCCCGATTACGCAGAGGATGGAATGTTCTCATAAAATCAAACATATTCAATTTTGGCGTCATAACCCGTGAAATTTTAAGCGGGAAGAGAAACAACAACTTTTATGATGTTAATAAGCCTACAAATTTAGTAAAACATGTGAGTGCTATTATTTGCTTCTATTTACAATTATTTTCTTAATTAAGCATGCTTTGTACAACTAAAATGTACATTAGCAATAAACCTGCGTACAAAAGGTCCATATAAGTTGAAAATTGCTGTTTCAGGCTTGGGATTTGTAGCAAAATGGAGTTGGCTCAGAGCTAATGTATCGAACATTAAGCGATTCATGTGTCAACCAAGAGTTTGTTAGATTTATTCATATAGGTTTTTTGTGCGTGGAAGGATCTCCAGCAGATAGATCAACTACTTCAGAAGTCATTGCTATGATTACAAACGAAAGCACCATTGTGCTATAGTGAAGAAACCTACATCTACAAACCTAGACAATGTTACTGATGTAGGTGTGTTCGGATGCTGTTTGGGGACCCAAGCATGCACGTAAATGAAAAAATTGAAGTTGTGAAATTTAGTAGTGTTTGGGCTCACGTTTTGGTAACATGATTTCTTGGCTTGAAATGGACTTCTGAAATAAGTTGTTTCAAGTTGTTTTTTCGGTTGCCAATACAGTGAATAATATCATTAGGATCATTAATTGCATTTTAAATTTTTTTAACTACCCTGACCTCTCTTGCATGTATATTTTCTCTCATTTGTGGGTGAAAAATTCGAAAGAAAAGAACAGAGGCCTACGGCCTTTACACCTTCCCAGTATATATTTATCCATCAAATATATTTAATTAAGTATTTTACTATGTTTTTAAATTTCTTCCTAATAATAAACTAATTTTCTTCATTTTTAATAATTTTATTTTCAATACTTCTTCTAAAATGGTCACATTACATACATATAATATTAGATACATATTATCTAATAAAATTCATGTCCTTTTAAGTTATTTTGTATCTAAACTTACTTTTCCATTAATCATCAAACAAGTTTCAGCTTATCAAACTTTTTTTTTTTTTATAAAAGTCAATATAAACATAAATCACATTACACTATCTGACTTTTATCCAATCTAACTTCAGTAAAAGTCAAATTTTAAAAAACTTACTTCTGCCACCACTAACCTAAATACACCCGTAGATTTCATTCTGCCTACAATGTGTCAATATCTACTATGAATGGAAGATAGAGAGGTATGTGCTCTTAAATTATCCTATAATATATTAAATTTTTGAAAATTCAGGCGCAAGAAGAACAACAGCTTTCAAGTTTTTTTTTTTTTAACATGTATTTAATATTTTATTAAACATATTGTAAGTAAAGACTTGTTTTTTTCCTGAGTTACTTTAATATAATAGAATTGTTTTTGCTGTATTTATTTTGGACACTGATAAACACTTGAAATTACTCTGGTCTCAATGTATTTGCTTCGCTGAATCTTACACAAGTCATTTGTATAACCAATTTACTACCGATGGGGAAAACTAGCATTCGTGGATCGGGATGGTGTGAAAATGTTGACGGAAAAACTTGGAATTTCAAACAATACTAAATACTCCAAAACTAATTCAGCTTTCATATTCTCATAGACACTTCTCTGGTCTCAGGACGAAACAAATAAATCTTATTAGCTACAAATAATTAGAAGCATTCCATAACGACAAAGATGAATCAGCCGCTATTTCACACATTGTTTACTAAAGACTGCCACTATGGTGAATCAGCATATATTATCAAATGAATTCATCGCAAACCAAGTGTCTGGGGAACACATCGCTCTGAACTCTTCAAATTGCTCGTTCTAGGGTGTATGAAATGGGAAAATGAGCGGCCAAGACCACAAAGAAAATGATAATTCGTAACCATTTTCTCTTCCATGTAGTAAGTAGCAAAAACCTGTAACGTTCTAAGCAAAAAAATTGAGCTTCTTCATCACTCTGGCATATGCTGGAGGGACAATAGCTGGTTTTCTGAGTCTCCGTTTTGATTTCTTTGACTGCAGTTGACACCAGAAAATTATCAGTTTCATGTATAGTATGTGGACCGTCATGAGGTATACTCACATGAACAAAATGACTATCATTTGCCAAGTCCAACAATGAGGGAAATGAAAAGAGTTGGTCTTATTGTTGAAAAATTTTATTACTTTATGTGATAATGCTTTAATCAATCATCAAATTTGTCTACCGAACCACATTTATCAATATTAAGTAATAAATAATTGGGTTCAGCACTTTATTAAAATGGATGGGCTCTAATAGAGTAAATCATAATAGGTTGGGATATTTGATTCTGCGTTATGGAACAGACTCCAACTCAGACCAATTTCAGAGTCGTTGATCCTACTTTAAGGCATTTTTGTGATTGACCGCTCTTAACCCTTTATATGTGGTCCTTAAACATTTTGCCCTAACAACAATATACATTCTTGCTCTTTTGTTCATAAGGGCTGTAGCATTCTCTCATCTTCTCCATCACACTACTCTTGAGCAATTATGAATTCCTCACTCAAATTTCAGGCATGCTCTTGCAATTTATTCTCACTTGTTTTAGCACTTATAACATATCGATCAAAAGATATCATCATTCTAACTTACGAGTCTTTCCTCCCCTTCAAATTTCAGTCAGTCGAGAATAGACTAGACTCCCTGGAGCAAATAAAAAACAGGGGAAGTTCCCTCAAATTATCTAAGCAACTGGCCTTTTTTTTGGATACATGGCCAGAATTAATTAGAGCAGACATTCAATTACCATTTCAAATTCTTACTTGGTACTGCTTTTGCAACAGATGTTAACACAGGGCCTAAGCATACACCAAACCATCTTTTCATAATCCAAAACCATGCGCACATGTAAGGCCACCTATCCGAAGAAGGGCCTCACAATGTAGCTACAACCAATGCAAGCTACTTTGCTAGCATGAAATAGTCAAAAGAATATGTTATAACCATGTGCTATTCATAATTCGGCCCATAGCATCCATGTCAAAGCAGTCATGCCACAAACACAACAAATACAACTAATTGGCATTTTAGATTATCCATCTTCTTAGTAATAAATTAAAATAAAACCACGTCAGAGCAACGGCAAACACCAAAACAAGTCCTCAATGAAGCCAATAGCACTTCAGTTTTTCTCAACAGCCTGTACATATTAATGCGCCCGCAAAGTTTATAAAGGAGCATCCTAAGGAGATTCAAATTCAGCTATACCCTATCAATGATGAAAGCCAAATTACACGCGACCATAAGTTGTAGTAAATTGCAAAAACAGTATTTAGTCATTATCTTTGAATACATGGCTTCATTCGTTTATTACAAGTAGTTGGGGAGAGTCATGCACCACAATCCCTAAGCCTATATTTAGGAAACATTATCAATATCCATCCCTCCCTTACTCTTCCTCTCCTATCTTTTCATCACAAAGAAGTGCAAAACATGATACTTAGGAAGGTTAATGTGTGCATGCAATTGGCCTGGCAGAATTAAAATACTGGCATCAAGTTAGTCTTTCAATATTTAAAACTAAAAGAGGAGCCAGTAGTGTCACAGGTCATCAGCTATCCTCTCAATTTTTTTACCATACAATGTAAGTGAATCAAGGAAGCACCAAGTAAGCAAGGACAATAACTTTGATTTTAAGTCTTACAAACTCATGTACCAGGGAGAAAGTTTCAACTTTTGTCCATTCAAAGGATTTTATGGTGAGATTTGAAAGAAAAATGTAATATATTCTACATTCATGCATAGAAATTCTTGGGACACCACATTTTCCTGGGGCCAAAGATTTGTTAAAAAGTTTAAGATGTGGTCAAGATAGGTTTTGAGAATTTCCTTGCACCTCATAGCAAGATCATGTTGAGGGAATTCCGAAAATAGGTGTAAACTGATTTATTCAGTGCACCAAGAAATCAACACAAGGATTCTAAAGAGCATCCCCAGGAACTCACTTTTTAATACCAAATAACTATCAGATATTTTAAGAGCTTATCTATCTAAAGGATAAGAAAAGGGCAGACCTTCAAATGAGCATTGTGTCGCTTGCCCTCCTTCCAGCGCCTGATTGTCCCATCATTCAATGTTCTGAACCTGGATTTGTAAGACCTGTTCCGTAGTGGAAAAGCTCTTAAAACGAGATGCTATAAGAAAAGAAATAACAAGAAGATGTAAGTTCCAAGGAGAAACGCACGAGTAAAATTTCATCTTGAATTTCTTAATCTTGGAAGTGACCGGAGTCATTGGCTTTCTTTTCTTCTTCCGCTCTCTTGAAGAAACGTGTCGAACTTGAACCAACTACAGTTTCATATAAGGAACTAAAATGCTGTCACAATAACGATCAGCGGGACACCACGAGACTGGCTCGATATATAACATCAACTGTAAGAAACTAAAATCTAAATTTACCATATTCAGTCGATTGGGAGGGGGGGGATTGAACATTTCACTCTTAAATGACTTCGGAACTGAGAAATCAACTACTCATAAGTACAATATATATCAATTTAAAATTCCCAGATCGAAGTCAGTGTCTTCTGACGCATTTTCTCAGAACCCAAACAAAGCTCAGAAAAGAAGGGGATAAAGAATAGAAGCCTGAAATCAATAACTTACAGAGGGAGATAAAGGAGAAGAGCGAAAGGCGTGAGAAGCCAATGTGGGAGGGCATGATGAAGAGGCATTGAAGAGGGGAGAAGGAAGCCGATTACAGGAAGAAAACAGGAGAGGATGCGGGGCGTAGTGAAGCAGACGACGGGAAGGTGTTGAAGCAAGAGCTTGGCGAGAATGAAGAGCTAGAGACCGAAGCCTGGAGCAGCATCTCAGCATCATCGTCGCCGTCAACGGCAGAAGCTTTCGGCTACGGCTTCGACTTGAGGATCCAGATTCGGCTTTCTCCCCTGCGGAGTGTCTGGGCCTTCATAGGCCCAGTCATAAAATGATCCTTATTTCTAAAAAGCCCAAACCCTCCTTTGCACAGAAAAAGAAATGCTGCGAATGGAAGTTGGAACACCCCAGCAATTTTCTTTTTCTTTCTTTGTCCCGGACGAACCGTCCAGCAATTTTTTTTAAGAAAAATCACAATAAAACTAAAAAAATAATTATTAAAAAGTCCTAATAATAACCAAGTTTCAAAATAAAAAATAACAACTTTAAGAGTTATTTTGCAATTATTTTTTTCTCTTTGAGACCTCATTGTAATTCTTCCTCTTCTTAAGTAAAATGTAATAGTGATAATGATAATAATAATTAAAAAAATAATGAATTCATAATGATGATATGATAGTTGTACTTTGGCCCCAAACAAAAATGATAGTGGTAGTAGTAACGTCTAAGAAAATAATAATAATAATAATACAATAAAAATTAATTGCTGGCAAAATGGTTTTTATTATTTTCAAGTAGAACTTATACCAGCCCTTTATTACTTTGAATAAAATTATTGTTAATGAAAATTAAGATATTAAAAATCAATATATATAGAAATAACTAATATGGTGATAAATTATGTTTGAAAAGTTTAAGATCCTTCTCTTATCTTATTAATCTTTTTTATTTTAAATATAAGAATTCAATTATTATATTTAAAATACAAATTAATTTGTAAAATATCTTTGATATCCAAAACCCTACCAAACCCTAGATTTTAAACTATCCAAACCACACAAATCCAAGCTGGAAAATGAAAAAGAGGTTAGGACATCAACACTAGATCAATTTTTTCATAACCTCTTCCATCATACACGCCTTTTACTAATTTGTACTTGTCATTTCTCTAAATATAAATCAGCTCTAACTATGAAATATACTTCACCCAGCTTTAAATATATGAGTATCTTAATATCTGTAGATTAATTTAGCTAATATGTTAAAAACAAAATAAAATATTACTCATCAATCAATCATCAATTATATTATTAAAAACTTATAATACCCTATTCGTTTTAAAACGGGTTGGGTTTGACAATATGATATCTGAATCTATTTAATTAATAAGATTTGAATAATATTTTTATTAGAATTTGAGTATATTGAATTAGATGAGGAATATCATTATTAAATAAGATTTCAATTTGAGACTTAAATAAAGAAACTAATAATTAATTTTCAATTTAAATAATGTCTTAATTGGGATTTGAATATATTGAATTAAATAAAAATTATCATAATTAAATAGTATTAAATAATTAGTTTTAAATTTTTATATGTTCTCCCTAAATTCTACGTATCATTCAAGATCATATTTGGATGAGTAAAATAATCACACTCCTATATATTGATTAGAATTTAAAATCTAATTAAATATTTTAGTCCATGCATCAAATAGGGAAAAAATTTCTAGTTTGATCCTAAATGTAAAACTCATTTTATAATACTTCTCCGGTCCTTAATATAGGACTCAATTGTTAAGTTGGTTTTGGTCCTAAATATAAAACCTATTTCTCGTATTTATCAATTTTCTCTAAATTACTCCTATGAATACTCTTTTAACCATAATCAAGTAGAAGAGGAATAGGGGGTATTAAAAAAGATGATTATAGTATTTTAAGAAAAATATGTCATATTTATTATAATTAACTAACTTACCTAACTTCTTTAATCTAATTAAGTTAGTTAAATAGATCTTATATTAAATACCAGAACAGTATAATTTATACTACAAAATAAGTTTTAAAGTAGTATTAAAAAAAAAAGAATCAAATAGAATGTTACATTAGTTTTGAATGTGGGATCAGAGTTAGCACATACGCTCTCGTTAATGGCTTTTTTTTTTCTTGACTCTAATCTCTTTTAGTATAATATTAAAAATATGATGTGCCAAAAATTTGATTCCACACTCAGCCACTAGATTTGAGAAATCTATCATATTGAAACATTATCATCCGCAAGATAAAGCATTTTAAAAAAAGAAGACATTTTTATCAATGTGTTATTTATTGTCTTGACGGAATTTTTATGGAGGAATACTACCTGTGTCCACCATTTTTATCTTGCTGCCTCGTATCTTTTTTGCTTTGAAATTGTAGCTCCGATATAAGCAAGCCGAAATAACACCCTAATTAAAATATTATTTAGGTTAATAAGATTTCTTTCAACATGATGCAGCCTATCATTGTTAGATTTCAACAATCACTAGATAGGAGATATTAGCTCTTTTTTTTAACTTTCATGTGCTCCCTTTTAAGTTAATTCCTTTTAATATGTTTTTCTAATTTCCTAGGAGGTAGTCTTTTTATCTACTAATTGTTTTAGTATTTTGTAAGCTTTGTTTTTTTTTTTAAATATATCATTTTGCGTTTTCTTCTTAAGAGAAGCTACAAAAAAAAATCTCATTTTTAACTTTTTAATTAAAATTTATGAAACTTTTATCCAAGAATTACTCACCAATCACTAAAACCATGCACCTCATTAAGACGGAGAGATCCCAAATGCATACACAAAATATTCAGCCAAATTTGCAGAATTCAGAAAATTATCAGCCACGTATATGTTTCAAACAAACAATAAAAAATTACCCATGCATTAACTCAGACATCAAATATTATTTATATAAATATATAAACAGACAATAATTAGTAAATTTGTGCAATCACGGAACAAGATACAATTATACAACTCCCATGACAGATGAAATTAAAACAGATATTTTGACCCAAAAGAATCACCATAGGAAAATGCAATACGATGCATATGGATTCCATTAATCTCTTGCACGAAGCTTCAAACTCGCGAAGATTCCCTCTCCTCCTTCGAATCCAATCCAGACGCCGCATGCGAACCTCTCTCACTTTCTTCGGCAACCACATTCCCGGCCGCCACCGCTCCTCCGACGTCACTCACGTTGCCGAAAAGCAGACCCAATGTTCCCAAAAGAGCACCACAAAAAGCTAATCCGAACGAAGTTCGGAGCCGACCAGGAACCACCGTACCGACCGTGAAGCCGGCACACAAGCCGGCGGCTCTCATCCACGACAACCATATGGCGAACGCACCTTCTTTCCCGGCCGGCGCACACTCCATCACTAATATCCTCCCGGACGCGTGCAGTACGCCGGCCGATGTTCCCTGAATCGCCCCGAATATCAGCAAGTAGCCCCATTTCCAGGGATTATGATTATAGAAGAAGCCAAACCCAGAAGAGAAGATGGATAGCAGAAACCCCAGGATTTGCATTCTCACGGCGTCTATTTTTATCAGATGTTGAAAAGGTTGGAGCAATGGCAGAGAAAGCAGAGGGAAGAGAAAGTAAGTTAGCCAGAGAAACAGCAAGTGAAGGGGCTTGAAGCAGCGCTCACCCACTATGAAGACCACTCCTGCTATAAAAATGCACATAGTGGTGAAGGAAGAGAGGAAGATGCCGGCGAGACCTCCGATTGCGTGGGGGTATCGGAAAATCGAAAAAGGATGGAACTTTGACGGTGGAGAAACAGAGGAGGATGCTCTATTTGACGATGTGTAGACGTGTAAAACACCAACAAGCCATAAGAGGCCACTGAAGATGGAGACAACCCATAAGCTAATAAACTCGTGCTCATTGGGCTCCCGAAGCATATGGTAGGTGAAGGCGGAGATAATGGCCGCGCCGACGGATCCGACTGCGGCGGAGTAAAGGGAAAGACGGTGGGAGATGGCTTGCCGAATGGAGTATTGGGATTTGGTAAGAGGGCCCGTGAAGGCATGAACCATGAGGCCAAGATGATGAGTATGAGCAGCGCCAGCGATGGTGCTGGCAGCAACAATGCCGGCGATGTAGGGGATGAAGATCTTAGTGACTTTGAAGAATCCGGCTGGGAGGCAGAAAACAGCTCCGACGCCAGTGGCGGCGGCAGCGATGATGGGATGGAGGTTGCCGTCAAGATGATAGGAAAGGTAGCCTAGGATCGGAGCAGCGACGGCCAAACCAGTAGCCCATGCTATCGAAGTCCATTCCAAAGAAGAGAAATGAGAACCACTCACCCTAATGGTTCGCTGCGTAAGTTGACCGTACCTGCAATTATGATCACCAACTTTGCATGTCAGTGTAATAAGTTGATTCATTACTAAGTCAAGAAACACTGCACATTTTAATCAGAAACCCAAAAAAAAAAGTACTACAAATTCGGATACTTGCGTTAAACTCCAAATTTGTCCAGAAAATTTTTATTCTGAAATGCTAAATGTCTAAAAGTTTGTTTAGTATAAATTTACCTTAAAAAGTTAAAATCATGTTAATATTACATTCTATAATATCACTATTTTAATAGTTAATTATAATAGTAGAGGCAATATTTTTATAATTTTAAATTTTTAAAGTAAATTTATACTAAAAAAAATATTACTTTTGAAACAAATGTACATTTTTACTCTATACATATATTATTCATAGATAAACCAGTCAAAACAATAAATCGGGAGAGGCAGGGGATAATGTCGGTCAACATTCAAAATGGGGTCTGCAGATTTTCTACATATAGTAATAGTGACTGTTGAATAATTGATCGCCATATGTAGGAAGCTTTTTTTTTTTTTTTTCACCGATGACGATAATGTATATGTTAATCAGAAAGGCGATGACTTTTAGGTTGGAATCCGACAAAGAATTTTACAATTCCCAGGTAAAGCATACTACTACTACTATAGTTACTGTTTGGTCTTAAACATCAAGCGCAAGACATGGGAGATGGCCTTGTCCTTGGTAATTAAAGATCATTATGATGAGTTGATAGAACGCGGGTAGTACATAGGTACTTTTTTCACCCCCACATCATCTTGTCTGGTAAATAAGATTTTAATCCAGCCCCAGAAATTGCAGGACCAGATCATCTGTTAATAAATGAAGTTTTAATCCAATAATGAACAGAAATTAAATAAAGCAAGAAAGTGCATGGGAGTTTGAAAAGGAATCTTTCCTCAAACTGTTGAGTAAGAAAAAAGGTTTGGAAAAGCAGACCACATAGTCCCAAAAAACACACAACTTTTCATGGTTCAAAACAACATGCGCAGTTCATCATAACCAGAAAACCTATCCTTAACAATGAACTGGTACCTAAAATTTTGAAGCAAAAAAGAGGAAAGTGAAATACTTACAGGTGAATTTCTTTGTCTGAGCAGGTTAATGTAGGGTGGTGAAAGAGCCAGTCTTGAACAGGGTTTGGGTGGGAAGGAAGGTGTTGTAACTGACTGATAATGAGAGGGAAAACGACAGGAATAAGGACCGTTTGGATGAAGTAGGAGCAGAATTCGTAGAGGTACCATCCCAAAACTTCAAACTTTGAAGGCTTGTCCTGCATCACTTGGTATCCGCCATAATCGTCTCGGGTTCTTGGAACGCCGCTGCGTGAGCTTGCAGCAGACACCACGTGCCTCCCATGCTCTGGAGCAGCACCGCCGTGGCTATTTCCAGCTTCTACCGTCACTTCCTTCATGGCGGAGGCGCGTGTCTTTGAGTTGCGACGGAAAATATGGAAATGAGGGTGTGGCCGGAGGAGGAGCAGGAGGAGGAAGAACAAGGGCGTGAGAGAGTGGTTGGGTTGGGTTAGCACAGCATTGTCCAGAGAGAAACTGAATTTTAACGAAAGTTTCGAGGCTGTAAGGAAACGCCTTTGCTTGGTGAAAGTAATATATTATTAGTTTATTCAAGCTGGCTTGCTTTGTTTTATTACCTCTGCCGTTTTTGTTTGGGAGAATAACAGTAAAGCCTGGAGTATCAATACCAAATCCAATGATATTTTCTACCATAAAACTTTTGATTGCAAGTATGAATTGAAACTTCAGAATTTAAAATTATTTTAAAAAAATTATTAAAAACGTAAGTGCGATTAATTCATTCTTTTAAGACTTAACTGTTATTTTTCTTTTTCCCCCCTTTCATTTGGCAATATCAGGAATTAACTTACTCTTTTAGGTATTTTTCTATTTACAAATCATATCATTTAAACTTTTTCATTTTTTATATGAATGTCTACTTTTAATTTTTATTTATTATTCTGCAAACCGTCATTTTCTAAAAAGTGTATATATCAAATTTAATTAAAATTAAAAATTTATTAACATTTAAGATAAAATAAATGAAATTTCAGATTTTTTTTCTCATGACAATAAAACATGCGGAAAATAGTTTATAAGTAGCACTAGAATAACAGTGTTATGTATAAGGAAAAATTGTAAAAAAAGAGAGTGAAAATTACAAAATTTCATGCAAAGAATTCCTACAAAAATTTGTTGTTATTTGCAAATTCATTCTATTCAAAACCAACTAAATTTTTATCACGATTTCTGGTTTGGAATTTTACAATTTTTATAATCTTTATTTAGAATTTTTCCTACGCATTATACTATTCTATGTATTTCTATCATCACGGCATTCCCTACATTATTTTTATTTAAATTAACGACTTTGCGAGTGATATTTTTGAATATTCAAATTAGGGTGGCAATGGACAGAGTTAGGTAAGATAGGACCCTTGCTTGATATTCAACCTGAAAAATAAAAAGGTTTAGTAAATTGGGGCTAGGCAAATGTGAGTTAGGCAAGGCAGGCTTTCATGCCCAACAAATTAATATACTATATTAATTAATTATTTATTTATATCCCTCTAAGTGATTTAATATAACTTTATATTAAAATGACACCTAGGCCTTCATTTAGTTATTAGTAATTAATATACTATTAAACTACGTTTTGTAGTAACTAAGAGGAGTGGACTGTGAAAAAAAATATTGTTAGTATATGTTATTAAACTTAATTATTTTTCTGGTTTTTAAAATTGCTTAACCCAATATGAATATCTTTTGTTTCCGTAACTCTCAAATACTCATAAGAAGATGGAATTAGTTATATTTTTAAAAAAAATCTTTGTTTTGGTTTAATAGATTTTTAAAGTATCTTGATCAACATTTAATTTTAATCAAACAAACGGACAGCATTTTTGGACATGAACATGCCCAATATTTTTTTCTGGCCATTTATTTTAAGGCCGGTTGCGCTTTTTTTGGGGACCTGGGCCCACAGCGGGTAATTGGGCTATATAAATACCGGTAACTCAAATAACCACAATAATATATAGTGATATTTATTGTTAGAATGCGAGGCCTCCAGCATCCCCCTCTCCATTCTCAGGTGAGAACTGAGAAGTGACCACCCAGTACCGTGCTTGGGACTTCTCGCCTTGACAGTTAATGCCCTGATATTCCATCCTGTCCTAATCCAACTTAGAAATCAGCTGAGAAATTAAAATTTTATATTAGTCTCAAATGTAACCTTCTTTATGAGTATTTTTTAATTTATTTGTACTGATTATAGTAGTACATGTTAAATGTGTACCGTTAACATAAGTTTTTTCGAATATAAATAATTAAAACAGTATATTCTTAGTAAAAGTAATAAATATTTTAATAAATAAATGCCTTATTTATTTATTTTCGTGAATTGGTCACTAGCTTCTACATAGTTAGTATTTTTGTCATTCCAGATATCTACATTACGCACTTGTAGTATTTTTTTTTAAAAAAAAAAATTAACGTAAGAAAACATGAAAATGCCAATAGCTATAAAAGCTGGACATAGGAACTGATGTCTGTGAAGGGGATCTTATTGCCTTTGACAGTTTAATTTCTGACAATAATGACGCATGGACGAGGCACTGTATATTTGTGTTAGTGAACAACACAATGAAGTGAATATGAATTAAATTAATAATATAATGGTGTCTTCCACGAAGGCATTAACTGGCTTCTATTACTATATATGTGTCTTAACTGGCTTCTATTACTATATATATGTCTATGTCAATTCACAAAGATCATCACTACTACTTTAGGACTTCTCGCCTTGCCAGTTCACGTCCTGTGAGGAATTTGCATGGTACAGGGTACTAGGTGGTATTAATAATCTTTCCGATTAACATATTACATGCATGTTTAGCTTGACATTGAAAACCATTAGTTACATTTTGGCAATCTCTAATAGCTAATTAATTAAACACACCTATCTTTATTATGTAGTACTACTCCCGGTTCTTAATATAAGAACTAGTTGGAGATTGCATTTGATGTTAAATATAATATCACAATCCACTTTGTTCTTCTACTTCTGTAATTCATTATCTAAAGTATCGTTGTTAATTACATGTATTAAGGGGTTTTTATCCAAGAGTAGTTATAATTAAGAAAAGTATTTTAAGAAAATAAACTCATATTTGTTACAAATAACTAGATAAACTAACTATTTTAATCTAATTAAGTTAGTTAAGTAGTTCTAATATTAAGAATCGGAGAAGGTAATGTTTTTAAATTATTAAATAAATATGGAATGTAGAAAACATGTAAAAATGCATAAACTTATGGAGTATTCACGAATATGCGCTAAGCATTATAATTTTTTATTGAAGGCAAAAAAGCCCATGAATTAAAAAGGACGCAAAAATACCACAATCATTTATTTAAGCAAATTTGTTGACTTTTTAGAACATAAATAGATAGATGTGAGGCTCATTTTTGCACTTGAGTAAATATTATAGCACTATATGTATAATCATGAATATTTCGTGGGCAGACTAATACTTAGGCCTGTAATGTTATGTTTGGATAGTTGGATTGGTGGAGATTTGGATTTGGACGAAATCAATTATTTAAGTACATAAAATTTTATGGGTTTGGATTTAATTCAAATCTAAACAAATTTGATTTGTTCTTTAGAATTTCAAACCTTAAAATTCAAACCCTAAAGCCTAATTATTTGACAAGTGATTAAAAGAATAGATTTTAAAATCATTGATTTCTCCAAAAGTTGGATTGGTGGGCTTCATTAAAACCATGGTTTGGGCTTTAGGATAGATTTTGGTGAGAATTTGTTTTACGACCACAATAAGGGATTTCTTTTCACACGCACAAAAAAAAAAAAAAGGAAGGAAACGAGGTGTATATTCTGGGCTTTAAAACACATAAAGGATTTGTATCCACCATATCATCCGTATATCACTTTTAGGCCATGAAATATATCACTCAATTATTCATATGAGTGTTTATTCATTTCGGTGGAGCCCAGAGTATCCGCGCACTGTATAAACTTTTCAAAAAGATAGTACTGGTCATGAGATTCTCTCCAAGCACACTCTTAGGGATCAAAACTCTAATTAAATATTTAAGGAACAAGCTGAGTGTCATCTATGTTAGGTCTCGTGGTTTGAGTGTTTATTCATTTATATTATCATTCACTTACTTGTTGTTTGATTTATATTTTATATTATTAAAACTACATGAGTTTTTTTATTTTTTATAAAAAAATATACAAATTTTCTTTGAAAAATTTAAAATTGCATGATTCTAGACTCATATAATATTTCCTCAACCTATATAGTAAATTATAAAATAATCCTAAAGTTTGAAAAATTATATGACTTTTATTTTAAGTTAAAGTCAGTGATGATTTTAAAATTAAAATTTTAATTTTTATGAAGAAAATAAAACTTTAATTTTTATGTGACAGTTTGCGTATTTTTAGCCAATTTTTTTTATGTAAATCTTAAACTGGGAGAGAAATCAGGTTTAATTTAGTGAGATTTATTAATTTGTATTATTTTTAAAAATAAAATGGATGAGGATATATGGGAGAAAATGTCGAAGGTTTGGAGGGGACAATATTATACTTTTAAATTTATATTTCAACATTTGGTCTTTTAAAATAATTATATTTTTCGTGATCCTCTCCAATAACTGTCTCCCCCCCCCCCCCCTGATCTGGCGTGGATATACACATAACGGAAGGAATAATACCAAGTGGGGCGTAATCCTCTCCAAGAATATTTGATACTATCTCCGGTCCTTAAATAAGAAATTATTTGATTTTTAATTTGATCCTAAATATAATATCTCAATCTACTTTGCTTTTCATATTTATTTATTTTTTTTGAAAGTAATCCTTACAGTAATTGCATATGTTAAATGTTTTATCACATAATATTAGATTAACAAGAATATTTAAGAAAGATAATACATGTTCATTACAAATACATGTTCATTATAAATAACTAACTTAATTAATTTTCTTAATCTACTCAAATTAGTTAACTAGTTATTATATTAAGAACCGAAAATAATATCTTTAAAGTCAAAAACATATACCACCTCCGGTCTTTATTATAAGTTTTTTATCTGATGTTTATCGTTTTTTTTATTTTGATATAAAATAAACACAATTCTTAAATTAATACATGCCAAAAAAATAAAAAAGTAGTGACACCAAAATCTTTCAAATTAATTTTCGACTGTCCGAATGAAATGCATATTTTATAAATATCCTTAAACATGCAAACAATCTGGAATTACGATAACTGTCAACCGTTTTAATCTTTTCATTAAAGAAAGAGCGTTCATTATCTTTTTTTTTGGTTATGAAATTCAATTTTTTGACCTTCAATATTAAATT